CGATTCTGTTCAAGGGCTTAAAGCCATTCTGTTTAAAGACCGGGCCTATGGTCGTTCTGTATATTACTGGGCTTAAAGTCGTTCTGTATTATATATGGGCTCGAGGCCGTTCAGTATTATATGTGAACCTGAGACCGTATTGAAATATAGTCATGGATATATACAGTTGGTATTTGTCTATTTATTTTATCCAAGGTTTTGCTTATTCAATTAACCTTCTTAAGTTGCTATTATTCACCGAGCCTTGCTCATTCTATTTTATGTATATTTCTGTAGGTGAGCCATCGGGGATTGACGCTAGAGTTGTACCGAGGTTCGCTTGTCTGCCAAGTCACTTGGAGTATGTCTCCACGTGGAGGCCTTAATTTATTGTTGGGAGTCATATAAATTATTAAGTCTTATGTAAGTTTGTGTGAGATCTATATAAATTTTGTGATTGTATATGTATATTTGGAAATGTATTTAAATGCTTAAATCCAATTAAACCGTCATGTATGAACAAGCTCAATGGATGTTGTCTTTTATTGATATTACTTCCGCTTAAGGCCCCGTATGCAATTAAATATTTTTCTAAATTTCTGTTTTGAGGCCTATGTACAGGCTGGTCGTAGACAAAACTTTTAGGGGCGGGTTTGGGTCGTGACAGGGCCAGTGTAAGTTTTGGAAACTTACAAAACCAGGACAAGACTCCCGGCTTGAAAACTAAGTCGAAAAATTGCACTTTTTCACACTTAAGCTTGAAAATAGGAAATCGCTTCTTCCTGCTGTGGCGGCATCCACCCCACCCGGAGGTCACGGCTCAGGTCGAGGGATTTCAAGAACATGTCCATTTTCGCCACAATTGACAAGGTTAGTAATTTTACATACATAATATGTGCTATATATTTACATATATACATATTAATTGTGCCAAATTTAGTTGTTTGAATTCTCAACTTATATCTGTAGAATTTGATTCTCTTTGTGTTATATATTCATTTTTGTGTTCAATTTGGCTTCTAAATTAGACTATTCCAAGGATGAGAATGTTCGAGATGGGTTAGTCAGTCGAATGTGAATTCTTAAGTTTTTGCCTTGGAAATTTAATACACGTCCCGAGAGTGCCCTAATTTTCCCTTCCTCCCTTTTTATGCTCAATGATTTTCCTATCTCCTCTAACTTTGCCGAGTCAGAGAATTGGGCATCATTTTTTTCGAACTCTTCGGTCGCACTGTCCTGCCCCTGTTCTTGCTCTGTTTTGTCTCTGATGCACTCTTCATCTGTACCGGAAAAAGTTCAACATAAGAAGATATATATTCCAAGGCTGCATAAAAAAAATCATCTACTTTGAATACTACCAAATTTTTTATTCTTCTGATAAAAATAATATTAACTTCCATCCAAAGAAGATTGATTCTGATGCCATTGTTATTGTTGTTTTGCAAGGTATTAGTATAACTTACTTTCATAAGGCAATTACATCAAATTTGAAACTTATCGCATAAATAGATGCATGTATGTATGTGTGACAACATAATGTGATTGATCAAAATAATAATAAAAAATAAAAAATAAAAAAAACCCCACAAATTAATTAATTTGAAGTTCATTTTATTTTAATATTTGAAACACGGGAAATGGGCTATACTGCAGGAAATGGGCTATACGCGGGAAATGGACTATTTAATCTTGGATTAGAAAACTTAGGCTGTCATTGATTTACTAGTACTGGAGGGCCAGCATCAATCATTATATTCTCCTATGTGTTGGAGGGCTAACAAGAATTTGAATCAAATGGAAATTGATTGGATGGGATTTTGGTGTGCTGAGAAGTTGATGTACAAATGCCTAGGACTAGCTCTAACATCAAAATCACAATTGAAGAAATAATACTTATTGGGAGCAAATATTAATCATTTTATTCCTCATTTGCGTCTGCTTAGCAAAATCATAGAAGAAATAATAATACATATTGGGAGCAACTAGAATGGAAAGAACCCTCCTTGTGTGATTGCTTAGCAAATTGGGAGCAACTGTGAGTATCTGTGAGTATCTTCCTTCTTATTGGTAATGCTTTTCTTGATATTGTTATGAACTGAAAAGTTTATTTAACCTCTAAAATGATGACATCTGTTTGGGTAGTTTGTCATAAGAGACAACAAATCAAGTTTGGGGAACCTGGAGCGGATGCTTGCCGGAATTGATTGGAACTTTAATAGCTATGGAGGTTAGGCTGTAGAATATGTATTTATAATTTCTACTATGTTAAATTATTTAATATTCCCTTAGAACTTTCTGAAAGTGCCACAGTTGGGTCTTTGGCAAGAACTAATGAATCGTATAACTTGTAACTACTCTTTTTTAGCAATCCATTTATTCAGCAATTTATCGAGTGTATGCAAACATGATTTAACCATTGCTTCCTTGCTGGAATATTGATAACTGATGCATATTTGTAAATAATGATGCTTTTGAACAATAATCAATTGTAAGATTCCAAAGCTTTTTCTTGTCCATTAGTTGGGTTACCCTTGCGCTGGAACCACAAAATACTGCTAATCATTGTCCTGATTAAGTGTTGCTTGATACTTGATATCATCGCCTATACTTTGGTTTAGTTACTAACAAATAGCATCAGTTTCCATCTATTATTGCTGTATAGTTTTTTGCTTTGAGAAAAGTAAAATTCTATTCTATTGATCTGTCTAAATAAAAGTAATTGCACTTTGATTGGTTTGAAATTTCTAGGTATCAATGAAGGTTGTTACAAAGACTGGAGTCTTGATATTCATGCGGCAAGGAAGGTTAGAAAGTTGTTTGTTTCAATTTTTTACATGTTTTTTTTGTGTGTGCGTGCGCGTGTGCATGTGTGTGTGTGTGGAGAGTACACTCCTTTTTATATTCTCTCAAACTTTTTTCTTTAACTGTTAGATTCTGGAAGTCGAGAGAGTTCCTAGGTTTCCTCACTCTACGATTCTTGAAGGTGGAGCCATTCACGTAGATGGAGAAGGTATCGTGTTTTACATTACAAGGAAATTATACATGGCCATGTTTGGCCTTTTTTAATTGATACATTTATACTTGAAGAACATTTGGTTGTTTCTCTCGCCAATTCATTCATTCGTACATATATGATAACATATGCACATGTATAGCTGGCGAAGAGATTGCTTAAATTTTTTATACTGGAGGCTAGTACAAAGTTGATCCCCCTTTCTTTATTCAAGATATTCAAGATATTAAAAGTGCATAAAATAGTTTTTAACAAATTCCATTTCTTACCACCTCAGCTGTAGTTTGTTAAGTGTTCATAAGCCACTTTAAACAAAATGATACGTATACAGAGAAATAGAAGAAGATAATTACCTGCCTTTTGGTTGCTTAGAATGCACCAGAATTGTGTAATATAGCTGCTCCTTTGTTTTAATAGGCCTTGGTCTTAAAATTCATTTCTTATGAATGAAAAGCTAAGAATCTTTTGTAGTAGCATTATTGGACAAACAATTGACGTTGGGCAGGGAGGGATGGAGCAGGAAGGGGTTACATTAGCCGAGTAATGTAGTGCCTTATTCCAGCTGCTTATTAAAATCACTTTCATTTTCTATGAAGAAATGATATCTCTGTCACTACCGCCATGGGTGAATCTGATTTGGAAAAAACACCATGGATAGTTCTTGATACCCTTGGAATTCCCTCAATGTAAGTTGTACTGACACTTCGTGTTAGTACAGTCTAGATGTTGGGATTATAGGGCAACATTGAACTAAAAAAAAGGGATTATTTGGTGATTCATAGATCAGGCTTGAACTTTTTTGGAAACCAATTTTGATTACAATTTTTCTCATTATATTTATGTGAAAAAATACATTTTATTTTTTTTTTAAAAAAAGTTTAGGAATAAATACATTTTATGGATCACTTTAGATCATTAAATTTTATGTTTTGGAATGAAGTGTGACATATTTCAAAGCACATGTTCCCAATCTCCAAACCGAAATCTCTAGAATAGTAATATATTATAATCTAATAACACAAGGAATATAAAATCTATTAGGGTGATGCTTGATGATAGCTCACTATTTTTATTATTAAAGGGGCCATAGGAGTTCCTTTCCTTCTTCTCTTCCAATAATGAACCTTCATCAATCCTCTGCTTATTATTCTTCTTTCTGTAATGATTCTTTAGGTCATATTCTATTTGTCTCATCAACTAATGCATCACTGTATAGTTTGTTTACACAAAACACATTTCAAAACTAGATTTCTAGCTGTACTCTTATGGTTTTGAATATTGCATATTTCAGATTTGTTCATAAATTGTTTCCTTCCTTCAAGGACTTGTCTTACTACCGAGGAGTGCCTCTTGAATAAAAACAGGAACCTTCATTTGACTAAAGAGCAAGTTGAGGATGAACTTAAAGCATATCTTGGAGTCAAGAAGATTATTTGGTTGCCTCATGGATTATTTGGTACCCATTCACCTTGAATATTAAGCACACATGTATAAATATTTTGCACTAAAATTTGAGATGCCCTTTCTGTATATTTCATCCATATTTTTTGGTCTACCTGGCAATCTAGTTATTTCTTTAATTTGGTTGGTCTATGTGGCTATTTTTCTCATCAGGATGATGATGAAGCATTCTCATGCTTAAAAATGATGCGTTGGTGTGCAATTATGCATACGAACATGAAATTAATGTTGTATAGAGAGTTTCTGCTGGAACCGTAGTTCTAGGATTTGATCAAATAAGAGTTTAAATTTGCAATTTTTGGTATCTGCTACAATTTTTGCGTTCTTTGGGTAGGTGTTGTGATGATCAGTAACTTGAACTGCAATCCTTTCGAGCAATGGGCTCATGCCAAGTGCTTGACTTTTTGCATATCGAGAAAGATATAAATCATAGGGTTTTATTTTTTTGGAAATTTCAAGCCCAGGCTGTTGCTTATGTTATATGGTATGAAAAGTTGTGTGTTCTGATGTTGATACCTAGAACTTAGAAGGGATACAAAATTCTGAAGTTAAATATAGACAAACCTGATATTTTCGTTTCCCTTGTATCTTGCTATATATGATACCTGTTGTTCATATCTTGCCATTTAGCAAGTTAATATTTTTGAGGTATGTATAATCAATATGTCAATACCTCAAGCATTCTTCTGGCGTTAACTTGACTTTTGTTTATCTATTAGCTGTCTTCAAATTTCCAAAGGTATAATGTACATAATTTTGCCTTTAAATATGTTTTAATATATAATTTTTTTTTTCTGTATTTTGTGCATTTATTGTATATAAAATTTCTGCTTTGTGTTGAAAAGGAAAAATATTGACAAAAAAATGATGGTTATTTATATATTTTGCAAAGGAAATGCAGTAAGGAACGAGAGGAATTGCTATATGGACACTGCAGTCTTGAGAGATTTTGGGCTTGCTGGAAAACTCCTCCATTCTAAAAATCCTTAGAACAAATACAACAAAATCTAGCACTGCTTTAGTGGGAGAATGACTCAACTCCTTTGTGATTTTTGGTTTTGAAAGTTTTGAAATTATTTAGGGGTTGTGGACAACAGTGAGAGGCGAAGGAATAGAGTTGGTAAGACGGTTGTGACTACATATTTAGGATGGACCATAATACCGATACTTTATGAATCCTGCTAATATATGTTTCCTAGTTGCAGTTCAGAAATAGATGAAACAGAAAGATGTAATTCTGGTACCCATTATTTGACCCTTGGTCTATGCAGGATAGCAAGCTTTGAGAGTAAAAACTTTATGCAAGGAAATGAAGTTTCCCTATCTATTGCAACTACATATTTATCTTCATCCTGTGCCTTCTGAATCCTCATCATCTTATCTATTTTCCTACGAGGATATGGGATCAATAATGTTGATTTTGACATTAATGTGTACTAATTTGACGACGTTTTTAATAAAAGTTTTTATATAGAAGTTGCTAGAGTTACTCTCTCCAACATGTTTGTGCTTTTTGCTGCCTCATCGTTGAAGCTTTTCCTATTGATTACTTAAGAGGAAAAAATAAAAAAGACCAAAGTTTAAACAATATATTTTTATTGAACCAAGGCCTTTAACATGGTGTTTTGCAGGTGATGATGATACTAATGGTCATATTGACAACTTGTGCTGTTTTGTGAAGCCTGGTGCGGCTTTGTTGTCCTGGACTAATGATGAATCAGATCCTCAGTATGAGCGATCTGTGGAAGCCTTTTCTGTTCTCTCTCATGTTACCGACGCTAAAGGTAGAAAACTAGAAATTATTAAACTTCATGTACCTGGGCCACTTTACATGACAGATGAAGAGGCAGCAGGATTAATTCAGGTAAACATGATTCTTAGAATTTTACTATCACAACTCTGTATCCGTTCTGGCTACTCTTTATCCACTAACTGAAAAGTAAATTTACATTTTTTGAGATGCTATGCTCATGTTTAGTGAGCAATACTACTGATGGAGATCGAAATTTACTAGTTTTAGGAATGCCAATCTGCAGAACTTGAGGTAAATTTTCCTCCAGCAAGAGGGGGAATAACATAATCTAGTCGATGCGAGACCTACGAGAAGATGATAAATTGATTACTAGTGTTAAGTACTTTGTCTTTGATTTAATATTTTTATATTTTCTTTCTTTTAGGACTTTTAATGGCTTTAGTGATAAGACTTGAGTCTTTTTAGGTATCTATGTTGGGTAGGAATTAGGATTGGTTTGTAAAAGTTTCCACACATTTTCATGATTATCTACTGACTACACAACCTATAAATAGGCTCTATTGTTGTAAAACGAATTTGGCATCACTTGCATGAATAAAATTAGATTTGATAGATGGATCTCTCTCCCTCTCTGTGTTGCTGTTGCTTTTTCATCCTTAATCTCTCTTCTCAGGTGGTGGTTCTCTTCTCATCCTTAAAATTAGGATTGATGTTTCTCTCGTCTTTACCTCCCTCTCTCTTCTTCACTCTTCATTTTCCCCTGTTCTCTTATATCTCCATTTTTCATATATTTATATTCTGTCTTATTCATTGTCCTTGACTTTCTTGCTATCTTTTCTCTCGTCATTATATCCTTCTTCTATTTTATCTCATTGTTCTTCTCGTCTCCTGTCTTATCTTATTCTTCTACTCTCTTTCATCTTTCTCATCTCCATCTTGTAATATGAAAAAACAAAAAACATCATATTATTTTGCCAATCACGTGTTCGAAGAAATTCTCATGAAGGCCATGCTACTTTATGTGTGTCGGTATGTATATGTATGTGCACACATACTCATGCAAGTAAATATCAAGAATTAAGGTGTTTGCATGAGTTTTTGTCTCCTTTACAATATATATACTCTTTCATGTAAGCTGTTATGTTGACTCCTGACAAAAAGGAGACATTGTAAATTTTGTAAATTTAGTTAACCTCTCTGAGAATGCGCGGATGCGATTATCTCCTGTTGTCTTGATGTTTATTTCCTGTGCTTTATTTTATGTGTTCTATTAATCATGTGAGACGTAAATCAAATACATTAGGTCCTCATATTGCTGATGTTTTGAGAACAGAATGGTGAGGCTAAACCACGACTTCCGGGATCAAGGATTGCTGCTTCTTCTTATGTGAACTTCTACATTGCAAATGGAGGTATTATCACACCGCAATTTGGGGACCAGAAGTGGGACGATGAAGCTGTTCGTGTCCTTTCTCTGGCCTTTCCAGATCATGAAGTAAGTGATAGTATTAATTCGTTGTTGCCTGGTTATATCTACATGTTTTACAACCTTCATTCCTAGAACACATGAGAGTGAAATACCAAAGCTTTTTGTCTTTGTCCATATCTATCAGATTCTAAATGATTTATTGAGCCCCAAGTGTTGCCCATGTAGACACAATTCATTTTGATCAATTATGATGAATGAAAAACCGATGGATTAAAAGCTTCAAAGATTTAGGCCTCGTTCCAAAATCCTTATACCAATGTAAATCTGAACATCAAAGAAGGTAGGACACACCAATGTAGGGAATGTGAGGACCAAATGTGGAATAATAAAACAATTGACAACTAGAAATCGAATGCTATAATTAATGGTTCTAAAGTGAAAAGGATCATTTGCAAACTGTTTATTTTGTTTATTTTTGACCATTTATAATAATGCCAAGGTGGTATATTTCTCTGTTACAATTATAGGAAGTTGCAATAGTCCAAAATGCCAAATGGTTTGAAGTGTCCAATTATTTATTTTTCTTATGGTTTTTCTACAACATGGTACTATAAAAAGACAATTCTCTGTGCTTCTGGAGATGACTGCTAAACTAGGATTCTGGTGACTTGGGAAAAATATAATATTTTAGTACTCAGCAGGCATGTGACACTGTCTCTTCAGTGGGATCATAATATTTTATATAATCAAGGTTATCTTTGATGGAAGTAATAGAAGGAGTGCTTGAAATTCTGTATTGAAGGGTTGGTTCTTTTGTTTATTCATTTATTTAGTAGACCTTTTGAGGGACACCTTCCATCTTATTTCCTAAATTACTTAAAGGGACAATCTGTCTTACTCTTCGAGAATAGCGTGAAATGGGTACGAATAAAATGATGAATTTAACATGTTAACAATGTCAAGCCTTGAGATGCAAAATGACCACACTCATGATATGGGATGGAATTGCTGCAAATGCCACAAAAACAAGATGAGGTATTTTGTGTTGTTTATACGGAACTCCCGGTTTGAAAACTAGGTCCAAAAAGGCACTTTTCTCACACTTAATCTTGAAAATAGGCTATCGGGGCCAAAATCGTGGAACAGTCACGAGAAGTCCCGGGGAAAACAACAAACACCTTTGGCGGGTCCAATGTAAATTGTGGAAACTTACGAAACTTGCACAGGACTTTCGGTTTAAAAACTTAGTCGAAAAGGGCACTTTTGTCACACTTAAGCTTGAAAATAGGCCGTTGGGGGCCAAAATCGTGTAACAGTCACGAGAAAGCCTAGGGAACACCTCAAACATCTCGGGAGGGACCAATTCAAGTTGTGAAAACTTACGGAACTAGCACAGGACTGGCGATTTGAGAACTAAGTCAAAAAAATGTACTTTTCGAACATGTAAAATTGAAAATAGGCTATCGGAGGCCAAAATCATGTAACAGTCACGAGAAGGCCCGGGGAACACCTCCAACACCTCGGGAGGGACCAATGTAAGTTGTGTACACTTACGAAACTAGCAAAGGACTCCCGATTTGAAAATTATGTCAAAAAAATGCACTTTTTTAACACTTAAGCTTGAAAATAGGCCATCGGGGGCTAAAATCGTGTAACAGTAACGAGAAGGCCCGGGGAACACCTCCAACACCTCGGAAGGGACTAACGTAAGTTGTGGAAACGTACGGAATTGGAACGGGACTTCCGGTTTGAAAACTAAGTCCAAAAAGGCACTTTATTCATACTTAAGCTTGAAAATAGGCCGTCGGGGGCCAAAAACGTCTAACAGTCACGAGAAGGCCAGGGGAACACTTCAAACACTTCGGGGGGGACCAATGTAAGTTGTGGAAACTTATGGAACTATCGTGGGATTTCTTGTTTTAAAACTAAGTTGAAAAAGGCACTTTTCGAACACTTAAGCTTGAAAATAGGACATCGCGGGCCAAAATCTTGTAACATTTACGAGAACGCCCGAAGAACACCTCCAACACCTCGGTAGGGACCAACGTAAGTTTTCAAAACTTACGTAGCACGGGACTTCCGGTTTGAATACAAAGTCGAAAAAGGCACTTTTTTCATACTTAAGGTTGAAAATAGGCCATCGAGGGCCAAAATCATGTAACAGTCACGAGAAGGCCCGAGGAAAATATCAAACACCTCAGGAAGGAAAAATGTAAGTTGTGGAAACTTACGGAAGTCGCACGGGACTCCCGGTTTGAAAACTAAGTTAAAAAATACACTTTTTAAACTGTTAAGCTTGAAAATATGCCATCGGAGGCCAAAATCGTGAAACAGTTACGAGAAGGCCTGGGGAACACCTCCAACACCTCGAGAGGGACCAACGTAAGTTATGAAAACTTACGGAACTAGCACGGGAATTCTGCTATGAAAACTAAGTCGAAAAAGCACTTTTTTCACACTTAAGCTTGAAAATAGGTCATCGGGAGACAAATTCGTGTAAAAGTCATGAGAAGGCCTGGGGAATGCCTCAAACACCTCGGGAGCCAATGTAAATTGTGAAAACTTACTTCTAGCACGGGACTCCCAGTTTGAAAACTAAGTCAAAAAATGCATTTTTTTCAGACTTAAGCTTGAAAATAGGCCATCGAGTGCCAAAATCTTGAAACAGTCACGGGATGGCTCGGGAAACACCTCGGGAGGGACCAATGTAAGTTTTGGAAACTTACAGAACTAGCATGGGACTTCCGGTTTGAAAACTAAGTCCAAAAAGGTACTTTTCTCACACTTAATCTTGAAAATAGGCCATCGCAGGCCAAAATCGTTTACAGTCGCGAGAAGGCCCGGGGACCACATCAAACACCTGTAGAGGGTCCAATGTAAGTTGTGGAAACTTACGAAACTTGCACGAGACTTCCGGTTTGAAAACTTAGTCGAAAAAGACACTTTTATCACACTTAAGCTTAAAAATAGACCGTTGGGGGGCCAAAATCGTGTAACAGTTACGAGAAGGCCCGGGGAACACTTCAAACATCTCGGGAGGGACCAATTCAAGTTGTGGAAACTTACGGAACTATCACGGGACTCACGGTTTGAAAACTAAGTCAAAAAATGCACTTTTCGAACTGAAAACAGGCCATCGGGGGTCAAAATCGTGCAACAGTCATGAGAAGGCCTAGGGAACACCTCGAACAACTCGGGAGGGACCAACATAATTTATAAAAACTTAAGGAACTAGCACGGAATTCCCGGTTTGAAAACAAAGTCCAAAAATGCACTTTTCTCACATGTAAGCTTGAAAATCGGCCATCGGGAGCCAAAATCGGGTAACAGTCACGAGAAGGCCTGGGGAACACATCAAACACCTCAGAAGGGACCAATGTAAGTTTTGGAATCTTACGGAACTAGTACGGGACTTCTGGTTTAAAAACTAAGTCGAAAAAGGCACTTTCTTCATACTTAAGCTTGAAAATAGGCCGTCGGGGGGCCAAAATCGTGTAACAGTCACGAGAAGTCCCCGCGAACACCTCAAGCATCTCGATAGGGACCAATTTAAATTGAAAAAACTTGCGGAACTAGCACGGGACTCTTGGTTTGAAAACTAAGTAAAAAAATACACTTTTCGAAAACTTAAGCTTGAATAGGCCATCAGGGGCCAAAATCGTGTAACAGTCACGAGAAGGTCCCGCGAACACCTCCAACACCTCGGAAGGGACCAACGTAAGTTGTGAAAACTTACGGAATTAGCACAGAACTTCCGGTTTGGAAACTAAGTCTAAAAAGGCATTTTTTTCACACTTAAACTTGAAAATAGGTCATCGGCGCCCAAAATTGTGTAACAGTCACGAGAAGAGCTTAAACACCTCGGGAGGGAAATGTATAAGTTGTGAAAATTATGGAATTAGCACGGGACTCGCAGTTTGAAAACTAAGTCGAAAAAGGCATTTTTTTCACACTTAAGCTTGAAAATAAGCCATCGGGGGGCCAAAATCGTGTAACAGCACGAGAAGGACCGGGGAACGCCTTAAATACTTGGGGAGGATCCAATGTAAGTTGTGAAAACTCACGAAACTAGCATGGGACCCCTGGTTTGAAAATTAAGACAAGAAATGCACTTTTTTCACATTTAAACTTGAAAATAGGTCATCGGCGGCCAAAATTGTGTAACCGTCACGAAAAGACCCAAGGAACACCTCAAGCACCTTGGGGGGGCGAATGTAAGTTGTGAAAACTTACGGAACGATCACGAGACTTCTGGTTTGAAAACTAAGTCGAAAAAGGCACTTTTCGAACACTTAAGCTTCAAAATAGACCGTTAGGGGCCAAAATCGTGTAACAGTTACGAGAAGGCCCGGGGAACACCTCAAACATCTCGAGAGCGACCAATTCAAGTTGTGGAAACTTACGGTACTAGCACGGGACTCGCGGTTTGAAAACTCAGTCAAAAAATGCACTTTTCGAACACTTACACTTGAAAATAGGCCATTGGGGGCCAGAATTGTGTAACAGTCACGAAAAGGCCTGGGCAACACCTCTAACACCTCGGGAGGGACCAGCGTAACTGTTGAAAACTTAAGGAACTAGCACGGAACTCCCGGTTTGAAAACTAAGTCGAAAAAGGCACTTTTTTCACACTTAAGCTTGAAAATAGGCCATTGGCGGTCAAAATCATGTAACAGTCACGAGAAGAGCTGGGGTACACCTCAAACACCTCGGGAGGGACCAATGTAAGTTGTGGAAACTTATGAAATGAGCACGGGACTCCCGGTTTGAAAACTTAGTTTAAAAAGGTACTTTTTTCACATATAAGCTTGAAAATAGGTCATCGGGGGAAAAAATCACGTAACAGTCATGAGAAGGGCTAGGGAACACTTCAAACACCTCGGGAGCAACCAATGTAAGTTGTGGAAACATATGGAACTAGCATGGGACTTCCAGTTTGAAAACTAAGTCGAAAAATGCACTTTTTTCACACTTAAACTTGAAAATAGGCCATCGGGGGCCAAAATCGTGTAAGAGAGAAGGGCCGGGGAACACCTCAAATACCTCGGGAGGGACCAACGTAAGTT